ACAGAAGCCTTCCCTTATTACAGTGTATTCATTTTTTGTAAAATCCATTTCCAGTAAATTAAATGAAGTCAAATCCTGGTAGGTGCATAGAAGGGGATTCAGTGACCTCCACCCGTTCAAGAAGCTTTTTTACTGTCTGTCACTTGAGGTAAGTTGAAGGGCCTGATTCACTGCAAAGTGGCTTATTTTTACCTATGTGAGTTATTATACGCTGTACTTTATGGTTCTTGGCAGAGGGCCTCTAAATTTTATGTTTTATTCACAATAAAAAGGACATCTTAGAAAACTAGTCATTCACGAGCCACTCTCTATATGGAATAAAGGTCAATTTGCAAATTTGTACATAAAATATACAAATGCAGTCTTATGGGGGAAAAACCCCATAAACAGAATTAAGAACTTATTTCCAAGAGTGCATGTGAAAAATACCTACAAACATACAGTACAGCAAGATAAAACTAAAAAGCTAGAAATAGAATGTTACATAAAAACCTTAGGGAAATTCCAAAATTTAAGTTTCTGCAATAAATGTAAAAATATTCAAGGTGTCATTATTTGGCCTAGCAATACACTATGATAAAAAGAAATACTAGCATATCACAGCTTCTTGGTCATATGACATTTGCTTTGTATAACCAGCAGCTCATTTTTTAAAAATGCTGTCATATCCTAACACATCCAAAGCAAGTAACACACAACCATGGTTTGAAACCATTTGAGATTATGCTTTGGGGAATAGTAATTCGATATGACTGTTCAGTTTTGTTTTGTTCAAAGAGAACCAATTACTGCTTTTTAACATTACTCCATAAAATATTAACAGGTTAGAACACATCAGTTCCAAGACTAGAACACTAGTTCATGGATGAAGTTCCAAAACAATACTGTACTTCATTGACTGAAAGGTCCACTAACAAATTCTTGTGTGATGCAGAACTTATTCTCTTTAAGAACAAAACAAAGCAAACACACACACCATAATGCAATTCACAGCTAAATTTTCACTTTACTTCAAATTTTACCTGCATAATCTTATCATTTTATTCAGAAATACTATCAAACTAAAAAGATACTATAATCCTGTTTTAAAGTTTCTTTTTACTTTAAACAGCTGAGCTGAAATTGGGAAATCTGCATGGGGACTTGTAACCGTTCTGCCCCAAGAACATAAAGGTGAATTATGTAAGTACTCAGTTTTAAGTAATTTTCAGAGATACATAATAAAAGTGCCACAGAGCTACAACAGCTATTCAACACTCAACGCATTTTATAAAGGCACCAATATAAAGAATTTTAGAAGTATTTAATACATTAATTTTAGGATCTTAAGAGTCCAGTTACTGTATATTTTAATTATTTTGCAGAAACTGGAAGGCTAGAAACTTTTTCTAAGATAACTTTTATATACACATTTCAATTTTGTTCCATTTTTTTTTCTTCCTTTTGGATTTGGGAATTTTCTATTTTAGAATAATCTTCATACAGATAGTACTTACTAAAATCGTATGTATAACTAAAGATGACCACAAATGTGACTTATTCCTTTCTGTAAAATGAACAATGCAAAGTTAAAAAAAAAAATGTAGTCAGTAACTTTTATAATCTAAGTTCTGTCTTGAAACTAGAAACATACAGATTTTTATTTTATATTTTGGCAGTCTCTTCAGGTCTTTTTTTTCTGCCCTAAAGGATTATTTTGGAGACAGAAGGAAAAAAACTTGAAAAGTAAACAAAATATAATTTTCATATAAATGCCTTCTCTAATGTAAATTTTATGAAACATTTATAAAATATACAATAAAGATAACATGGTTTTGTGAGATGTACAACTGAGACACAAAAGGTATATATATATATATAAAAAAGCACAAAACTATCAACCTCACTAAGATATTCTTTGCCAACAAGTAAAAGTTGAAGTGCTTTATTTCCTGTCTTCCTATTCAAATAGGATTTCTATTTCTTTCAATTTGGAGGTTATATTAAAACACAAACCAAGGGGAAAAAAAATCTTTTTTATTTGCTTGTTTTGTTCTGGAAGTAGAATCTGAAGACCCAAGGTTTAATAATTGCCACTAGTCATAAAGACACACTAATAACTTTAATATTTCTTAATACAGTCTGGTAAAGTAAACCCACTACATTGCTCAGGTATTAACTATAATTTTAACTCTCTGGATGCTCTTGTACACATCTGATCACACTAATCGCTTCTCTTCATGACTTTTTTTTTAAAAAATAAACGTGTGTGTGTGTACATACACACATACATATATGCATACACATATGCATATATATAAGGAGCTCTGGTGGTGTAGTGCCTAAGGCATTTGACTGCTAACCAGAAGGCTGATGGTTCAAACCCACCAGCCACTACTTGGAAGGAAGGCTGGGCAATCTACTTCCGTAGTGATACTGCCTCGGAAACCCAAGGGGGGGCCGCTATGAGTCGGATCTGACTCGATGGCAGTGAGTTTTTTTTTTTAATGTATATATACACAAATTATACACATATTGTATATACCTATATATACATACATATATACACACACACTGTGATTCATAAATACAATTGCTTATATGTATGTAGGAGAGACATCCTATTTTGTAGCTAAGTCTACATCTTAGTCTCTCATTCCCATTTTGTCCTTCCATAAAATTCTCAATGGAATGTTTCTTTCTAACAACTTGAAATCTCTTTCAATCTGCCTACAGGTCACTTTCACTGTTTCAAAAAGCCAGATTAGAATGGCTTTTTTAAAATGATTAATCACTATCCTAGAGAGAGGCAGCGTACTTCTACTCCAATAAGAGCTGGAGATAAAATTATGGGCAAAATTAGGGCAAAGCAGTGTCATGAATTTCTGAACTTTTGCCAAACTGGAAAATACAGAGGATAACCCATTTTCGTGTCCCTCAAAGACTCCATAACGTAAAATCTCACCTAAATAAACTGGGCATATAAATGTTATGTAAAGATTGATTTATTTGGTGTCTGAGTGTCATGTCTATTTTTAGGCATTATTATCTTGTGTGTGTGTGTGTATATATATATATATATATATATATATATATATATAACTTTTGTGTGTGTGAAGAAGAAGCACGCAAATACAGCCATCCAGAGTCCTTCAGAAAGCTTGATGTCCAGAAAATTATGTAACCTACACCTTTGAATTGCCCTTGTCCTCATTTGCCCCTCCTCGGCACCCCCTGAGCCACCTCCACCTATTTCTGGTCCTCTTACCGAAGCTAAGAAAATACAAGTGTGTACCTATAGCAAATACACTCTCACAAACATCAAGAGTCCCTGAAAAGACAAAATCAGAAAAAGAGTGATTTGTACTGTTTTCAGAGAAGTACCCTACATCTCTTTAGGTCTGTCCACATTCAGTCTCACCCCAGGGCAGGCAGGTACATAATAGATCATACATGGGAAAACAAACAAACAAAAAAAAATGAAGCAGAGATTCATAGACTGATGCCAACAGAGATTCACACGTAGCCAAAGTTATGACCATCTTGACTGTCACCAAAATGTTTCATGGAATTCCAGGACAACACAGTATCACTGACCTTAAAACCATTTATCTTCCCTTAAAAGGGGATGGGGAATTCTCAAGGATGGACCTTACCATTGAATAAACTGTATGTTCACAATATACCCAGGCATGCAGAAAAAATATACACCAGTTGACATTCCATTGAAAACATCTCATCTCTCTCTTTTTGAGCATTTTGTTAGATTTAAATGAATAGTTTGGATATCTCTCCAAAAAAATGACAGAGACTAGAGACTCAAATGAAGAAAGCTAGGTTGCAGCCATTTTTGTCTCTAGTTCTTGCTATACTAGTGCTTAGAACAGAATAAATGAGCAGAGAGAAAACTACAACATGAGTTATGAGCAGCACGGGGCCAGATTTGCTTATCTGTCCACAGCTCTAATCTTGGTAATTTTCACAGCACACTGTATAATGAAACATAGTTTCAGCATTCTAATTAATGGTACTCCAGAGCAGTTACCAGTTACTGCTTAACAAAATTTCATTATTCACAAATGCTTATCAGATAATCCATCACAGACATGCCTGTGCTCCATAAACACATGCCTTTCAACTGGGCCCCTAAATGAGTCCAATCAATATCATTCAGTTCCCCCACCCAATGCTGTTGGACTGCAAAGATAAACAGAGCACCCACATAAGTGAAATTAAAATCTGCACATGAAATATGGTAACATATGTCATGTATGAATTAAAAGAAGAAAAATTTTATACCAAGGAATTGAAATTCACTTCTGACAATTATATATAGTGAATGGTTTTGAAGCAGAAACAATGTATAGGACACAGTCACTTTTACTTGGGCAGCTCAGTCACATCCTAGATTCTAAGAAGGCTAAAGTAAACTTGTTTTTCTCTTGTATCTGTAGTCCAACGGAAAGGCTGCAAAGAAGCACAGTTTTCCTTGCAAGGAAAGTGGTAAATATTACTGAAGAAATACTAGAGTAAAGAATCCTAGTTCAATAACCTTACAAGGTTCAGGTTACCCCGTTCAGGTCAAATTAGCAATTGTTCCAAGATTTTGTTAGAAATAGCCTATAGCAAGATTTTAAAAGACCTTCTACTCAGAGTAAAAGATGAATGGACTATGGACAGAACACCAGGTAGTCACAGCTTGAAAAAAACAGCAAAAAGTGAAATACCAGAAAATGGATTTCTAAGTGTTCTTTCCCCCTACTGCTAGCCTAATTATATTTTTCTGCTGACTGGTTAACACTGATTAAATGCTAATAAAGTGACAATCGTAAGCATACTTTGAGACACAAATATATATACTATACTGCCATCGCATTACGATTAAAAAAAAAACTTTCCAAATAAATTTTTGAAAAGTAGAAGTCCTGCCCGAAAACTACTGTCTCTCCGCCACTCTTAGACCGTATGTTATTCTGAAAACTAGATAAAAAATACTATTCATTAAAGGTGTTAAAAGTAAGGCTGCTGGGGTGTCTATAAAATGCCAGTCATCAAAACCATGGAAAAACAGTGCTTAAGTTTAGAAAAATAAGATCACAGGACCTCAGATGTATTGTAGGTGGCCCTTAACTACCTGTAGTTTAAAAGCTTTGCTATATGGTACAGTGCATATCATACTGTACTTTAAATTCCATAGGGGAAGTAAACATAGAACTCACAGACAACAACTCATCCTAGGAGTTAGCACTGAAAATAACAATGTGTTTGATTTGTGTGCCATGATGTCTAGAGAGAGAAAAGAAAAAAAAAAAAAAAGTTTACATTTTAAAACAAATTCCTCTTTGAAAATTACTTATACCATTTTAAGAAAGCCTTACCCAGAAAACTCTAAACTTTCCTGTCTTCCATCATAATCCTGAATATGAGTGGCAAATTAGGATCTCTTAGGTCAATCTATACGAATCAAGTGATTTTTCAAAGCTTGATACACCTTATATCTACGTGCGGCAGAAATGAACTGCCCTTAAATTCTCACAAAATAAACAAGCCAAGTTATCAAGAAACATTATCCCCTGTCCTTTCACTCTTCTGTTTCTTCCTTATTGTAATTAGGCAGAGCAAATGACACTGAGTCCACAAAATAAGAATTATTGACAGTAATAATATAAAAAAAAAAAAAAAGGTATGTCAACATCTGAAGGAAGGTGGGATTGTAAGTGCAGTATTTCTTCATGTGCAGTTCTTTACTTCATAGGGGTCCCCTTTGGAATGAAAAGGCCTAGTGGAATGTGTGCTCCCCTCGAACAATGTGTGATGAAAACTCGTAACGGTCCTGGCTTCTGTAGCCACAGATGTTGCATTCCAGTGGGTCCCGGTAGCCATGGCAACCCATGTGAATGGTGTACATGACATGGTCTAGGAAAAGGACTCGGCAGTGCTCACACTTGAAGGCCCTGATCTGTTCTCCTTCTCCATTGAAGACCTTGTAGATGTCTTTCAGAGAGCCCTTAGGAGCCTTGCTGGTATCCAAAGCTTTGATATCCTCCTTCATGTAAGCTGGGCTTTGTTTCCTCTTGGGATTTAAGGCAGGGTTTCCTTGGTAGGACTGGCGGTCATCATGGCTGCTTTCTGAGTCAGTAGAATCCAGGCAGCTATTGCTGGGAGAGGCCTCTCTTTCCTGGGGTCGACTCTTTGGTCTGATGAGAGAGATAGGGCCATCCATGTTGTTTTCATGACTATCAGAGGTTTCCCTGCTAATGGGTCTTTCTATCCTATTTGGATGATAGACCTGAGTGTAAGCTGAGCTTATAACTGGGGCCACCTCAGCGATTGTGCTTGGCGGGTGCTGCATCAGAGGGTGAAGGGCCTCAGCTCCAAGGTAGGTGATTGCATTGTTGATGGCTTGGTCCATCATATGAGACTGCATCAGCTCAGCCTCCTTCTCATATGTTAAGTTCATATCAAAATGAATATCTGGGTAGCTGAATCGCATGAGCTTTTCCCCTAAAAGACAGAGGGGGAGAAAAAGGAAAGGAAAAAAGAATACAGCAAAATCAGTAATTGGATTAAAAATATAGAAGTTAAAAAATGAATCACCTCCATTTCCCATAATGTGCTATACCTTTTCTTCAGATCAAGCATTTTGGGCTCTTTAATTAATTCTGCTGAGAAACACAAATACAGCTCACACACAAAGAGGATTAGTCACAAAAATTTCATAAGCCATTTGTATTTGTTCTAATGCTATGATGAGAACACAACTAGCCTGACAGAGTTGAATGTGTGATCATCTTATTTCCATTCTCTATTAAAATGTCCACTTGCTTAGACTCTGGGGCTGCAGTAGAAAGAAGAGTGATCAGGGGAAAATAAAAAGCAGTGACCAAGTCACCAAGATCACAAAAGTGAAGGAATCTGGTTTAACTTCTGTCACTTAACTGTTATATAGGGTTAATTTAGTTGGTTCAACTTCCATGTTGGGGGAGGGGACCAGGTTGGGCAATTTACTTCCGTAGTGATACCACCTTGGAAACCCAAGGAGGAGTCGCTATGAGTCAGGTCCAACTTGAAGGCACATAAGAACAACAACAACCACAACGAGTCAATACATACCATTATAGAGAACTGAAAAAGTATCATCATTAAAATACTTTTAAAAGCTGTATTGCTTGATACAATGAATGAAACTTAAAAAACAAAAACAAAAAAATCCACCTTCAAATCCAACTCACAGCCACTCTACAGGATAGAGGAGAACTGCCCCGCAGGGTTTCCAAGGCTGTAATCTTTACAGAAGCAGATGGCTTCATCTTATTCCTGCAGAGTCACTGGTGGGGTCAAATAGCTGACCCTTTGGTTGGCAGCCGGGAGTTTTAACCATTGGGCCTCCAGGGCTCCTGAATGAAACTTTATTAATTATCCTTAAACCTGCTACTGAATCAATTCCGACACATAGCGACTCCCACTGGGTTTCTGAGGCAGTAAATTTTTACGGAAGTAGACTGCCCAGTCGTCCTTCCACGGAGTGGCTTGTGGGCTTGAACTATTAACCTACTGGTTAGCAGTCAAATGCCTTAGGTGCTACACCACCAGAGCCCCTGAATGAAACTTAGGGCTATTTAAAAACAAAACTATAAACTATTTCCAAAAGTATTTGTTCATAAACTTATAAAATCTCATTTTTCTTTATTTTGCTTCTTGAACTTGACAATTATTCATTTTCACACATCATGGTGGTAATATGTATACCCATTTTAGTTTGCCACTTTTTTTCCCCCTTGATTGAAAGATGTTTACAATTCTCCTTAATATTTCCTTCAACAAATTTAATTTTACTTCAACAGGAATGTCTGAATATTAACTATAACCAATTCCAATTTTTGGTGCTTAAAACAGGAAAGAGTAATTTTGATTTTTTTCCTTAGAATATTGCCAGTTTTGGACAGACTACTTCATCTTTTTAAAATTTTGTCACTAAAACACTGTGGTTTCCAGTTAGTTACTTTTATAGGTATACTTCACAGATAAAATGATTTTTCAAAAGCATGTATGTGGACTTCTCATAAATGTTAAGCATGCTGTTTTAGAAGGATATCTACCTTGTCATATTGATAGGGAGCGTTGATCCACAGAACTACACTCTGCAAAAGGACTTTCAGTTAATAGTTAGTTATTGTTTCAGATTTTTAAAAAAAGGGCCTCAAAGTGGGATCAGGGTAATGATCATGAGTAATAACAGTGGAAGAAAAAAAATGATTCGAACTTATATCTCATGGCATCCAAATGAAGATATCTCAATGTCAAGAGTTTCAAAGCTAAGCCAGACAAACCTGATTTATGTTCTCAAAGGGTTTACAGTTTAGAGGGAGTGACAGCAATTTAGAGATCATTTAGGGTACATTGTGATGTATGGGATGGGGTCAAATAAGAGAAACACTTAACTCACACTTCTTGAAGGAAGTTGCATCAGAGGTAGGAATATCATGGTGTTAGCCAGGTAAAAGAATATGGGGGTGGGGCTCGCAATGATCAGAGGCAGGAGGACAGGGATTGTTCAAAGAATTACTTACAGTGCAAACTTATTAAAAGTGAGGAATAAGAGGTTAGATAAAATAGGGCCTCTTTGAACCACTAAAGCCTTGGCTTGCATCCTGAGAGCAATAGGATTGAAGGTTTTAAGCAGGGAGGTGTCATGATTAGCTATTCATTTAGCAAGAAAGGTTAGGAACTTGTTGCAATAGTGATCACGTTGGCCTGAACTAGAGTAGTGGCAGTGGAGGTGGTGCAAAGTCAGTGGAACGGAGAGAATGCTACAGTTGCTAGAACTTGGTAATTATCCAGACATAGAAAATGAGAAAGAGGAAGGAGTTAAATGAAGCACAGGTTTTTGGCCTGGGAACGGAGCGGATGGCAATGAGATAGAAAAGACGATGAACTCAGTCTGGAGGAGCCCGTGAGTAATAGTCATGTCTTTAGATATGGTCTCAAATGCAGAAGAGAGATCTGGTCTCCAGATGTAGATATGAGAGTTACCAGTGGATAGAGAGTAACTTCTGAAGCCATGGGAATACATGATATCACCCAGGCATAGGTAAAGTGTGAGAAAACAGGGACAAAAACAGAACATGGAAGAACACCAAGATTTTTATGCCTCTACCTGCAGACCAGAGCATGAAGGGCTCTTGCCTGGGGCCACACATTCAGAGAGCCCTGGGGCTCGCCCCTCACGGAATGAGGAGTCTATAGGGCCAAGGGACATCATAATTTGGAGCTCACCGCCACCGTCACCTTCCCAAGATTACATGCCAGGAACTCAGGATGTCAAAATTCCCTGCTCAAAAGCTCTGAGCCTGCATCAGGTCTCTTTGTAGAGTCCTTCCTCTTGAGTATCCAATGTGCTGCTGACATGTGCACAGGTAGAGGCCTGGGGAGTGACCAAGGCACAGCCTTTTACGTGTTACGTGTTTGGATACAGCATTAAAAGAACTTAGATGTGCAGACTGGAGCATCTACACAGGTGTGTATGAGGCCCCTTTCAAAACCAGATAGAACCAGGTGTGGGAAAAGAGGGGGCTGGGCTGTAGGGCAAGGGGCAGTTCTGTCCATGCTATCAAATTTTGGGTAGAATTTCCAGGAATCTGAGAATTCTGTATTTGAAGCTAGTCTTCCAGGTTAAGAAGTATTAAAACAGTGCTTAACATATTTAAACATATTTACATTTAACATAGAAACATATTTAAACAGTTTTCAACTTGTTATAATATTAAAATATTTAGGCACATGATTAGGAGGATTCGTGTTTTTGACCCATTTGCATAGCTGTTAAAGAGGACTGAGAAGCAGCAGTCCAAGAAGCAGGAGGAAATGCAAGAAAGACTGATGTCACAGAAACTGAGGAAAGAGAGTTTTTCAACAGGAAAACTACTCAATAGTAGCAAATGCTGTCCAGGTGTTGTGTAAGGTATGAACTAAAAAGTGTTCACTGGATTTAGCAATTCGGAAGCTAGTGGGGACCTCCATGAGAGGAAAAAGGCCATGTTTCATGGAATGAAGAAGAAAATAAATAAACAAATAATGCAAATCAAGTATAGAGAATTCTTTTAACTACTCCATCTCTGAAGGGAGGGAGAGAGCAAGTGATAGCTAGAAGGAGACTCGGGTTTGATGCAGGATTTTTTTTTTCTCAATAATTAGAGTTCATTGTATTAGATGCTAATAGAGAGGAGAGGTTGATCATGTAAGTGACAGAGAGGGAAATAGTATTTGCGGTATTTGAGAGGACAATAAGGTAGAATTTCAGAATTTCAGGAAGGGATATTTTTACTGAAATAAGGAGAAAAGAAGAAAGTGTCCATGGGGATGTACCTATGAGATTGGTGAGAGTATAATGAAATAATTTTCAAGCAATTTAGAAAAATGTTTTTCCTGCAAATCTAGAAAAAAGATCATCAAAGAGTGAGATACTAAGTTTGAGAAGAGTAGAGAAGGTTTGAAATGGGCATAATACAGAGTAGGGGAGATGGCTGCTCAGGGATAGAGTAAAGGTGTGATGCTTGATAGTACAGACGTGCCAACTGATATTTAAGATCATCTATTCATTTATTTACAGTGACACAAATTGGTAAGCTGTGAGATTTTTTCCTAAAAGTGCTAAATACTGAGATGTACATAGGAAGAAGCCATTTGGTCTGATTCACTAGAGAGTGGGGTTTTGCCAGAAGAAGATGATAGGAGGACAATGAGGCAAGGAGTCAAGAATATTGGCAAGAAAGGTAAAAGCAATTAATGATGAAATCTAAGCTGCACAGGAAAAGACAGGAGGAGGCAAATAGTTAAACATAAAGTTTAGGAAGTATTTTCTGGGAAAGCCTGATGAGGTAAAAGAATAGCATTTAACTGAAGGACATGGCAAAAAGGAACTGATGAGAAGTGTTCAAGGACCAAATTTTCATTTCAAAAGTCATCATAGTAATAGTTACTGTATTTGTTGCTTATTATATATTACTATTAGAGTATACAATCCAAATAAAGGAAAAGCACTTCAAATTGTTAATAAAAATTTAAAATCATATAGTAATATAAAAGATATTTCATACTTTTCTAAGGAATATAATCAAATCAAATTGAGGTTAGCACCTCTAAGTCATAGGAAACAAGACAAAAATGTTCCAAAGAGCAAAATTTTATATTTGAGAAGACAGAAAGGATTGGTGATGATATACTTCACATTTACTCAATGTCTAGTTGAGACAGGTATTTAATGGGCATTCATCAAATTAACAGTTTTAACTGAACTGACACAGAGACATAAATAACAACAGATATAGGAAGGAAAGAAGGTAGTAGGAAGGGGAAGGAGGGGGCAGAAGAGGAGGACAGGAGGTGGGGGAAGAGCACAACACAGGCCTTTTGAGTATAATCTCAGGAGTCTTGAACTGACAAAACATAAACTATGAATTTTACAGTCCTCCTTTATCCTTCTTTCAATGACCTCTGTCATTAACCCCTCTAGAGATACTCTTCAAGTAATTTTTTGTTGATTTGTTAGTTTTTCAGTTTTAGAATGAAAGGGCATTGTCTCAAATTGCTTAATAGTTTCATTAAACTTTCTTCCCTGAATTAACCAAAGATTTTTCCAAAACACCATTCAACCTCTTTCAGAATGTCTTGCAGTGTTCTTTTGAATATTTGTCTTCTTTTTATGTCCTATATAAAGCCTAAAATCATAGACATTTACATATATAATAAATGATAATTCTTTATATTGAATCTCCATTATTCATATATTCTTTCAAAAAAATTAGATGCTTTTCAATCCTCATGGACACTTCATTACTTACAGCATGTACTCAGAATAATGCTAAGTCGGAGTATATTAAAGAATAACGTGCTTTATTTGAGAGCTTGCATGTAATGTTTAACCTTTCCAGTTCAAAACCGTCAGTTTGGATAAAAACAAAGTAGAACCTCTAGATCCATATATGAAACATCTTGAATATGAGTTGTCACATTATGTTTCTAATATAGAATTTTTTAAAAAAATTATGATTAATTCTCTTCAGTCTAGATTAAATACAAAAAGATAATGTAAAGAAAGCAGTTAAAAACTGACACTAATGCAAATTTTAAAATAGAGTATTAAACTGGCCAATTAAAAAAAACCAACCCATTGTCATTGGGTCAATTCTAATTCTTAGAGACCTTGTAGGATAGAGTAGAACAGCCCATAGCATTTCCAAGGTTGTAATCTTTATGGATGGGAGCTTTGGTGGCATAGCGCCTAAGGCATATGACTGCTAACCGGAAGGCTGGAGGTTCAAATCCACCAGGAAGACTGGGAAACCTACTTCTGTGGAGATACCTCCTTGGAAGCTCAAGGAGGAGTTACTATGAGTCAGATTTGACTTCATGGCTGGTGTGTCTGAACTGCTGCTGATCTTTCAGTTAGTAGCTGAGCACTTAACCACTGCAATCAGCTATACCATTTTCCATAAATCATTATTTTTAAAAAATTAACATTTAATATTTATGTGCCATTTTACCTTACATTTAACTTCACTGTGACATAGTAAAGAAGCTCTGTGGCATAGTGGGTAAGGCATTTGGCTGCTAACCAGGTCAGCAGTTCAAACCCACAAGTAGCTCCACGGCAGGAAGATGCAGCAATCTACTTCTGTGAAGATTTACAGACTCAGAAACCCAATGGGGACCACTATGAGTTGGAAACAACCTGTTGGCAGTGAGTTTGGTTTTTTTATTGGTGAAAGAGTAAGGTATTACTATCAGCCCTCCCTTTATTTCTTAGGCCCATATGCCTACGTGTGTGTGTGTGTATGCGTATGTGTGTATATGTCTGTGTGTGTGAGAGAGAGAGAGAGTGGTGCACATGTATTGGCATGGAGTGGAGAATAATAATGAAGAAAAGAGACTGGAATTTATTTCATGAACTGAAATGCATTCTCTATTTTCTAAGATGTGGGAATATGCCTTTGGTCATTAAAATCACCTTTTATAGAAATAAAAGCATTTTTAATGCTTACCCACAAACTTTTGTGGAGTGGAGCTTTTACGTTTTCCCATATTCCCCGTGAGCTTCTCTATGACAGCAGGTCTCTCAAAAGGCACCAGAGAAATATTGTTGTCCATAATAGGCTCTTGTTCCTTACAATCGTCCATAGGAGGTACTATATAAAACCACACAAAAAACGCAATCTGATAATTTCTTCAACATTTTGAAAGATACATAGCTGAATTTGCCATCTCAGTATGTGTTATACAAACGTTAAGCTAGAATGTTTGAATAAAAGCCAGTAAAAAAAGAATAATCTCTAGTGTGAAAGTATACTCTCTAATTTTACCTACACACACACATACACACACAGGATTTGTTTTTATTCAAGTCTCTCTCAGATCAATGGCATAAACAGTTGCCTCTACTGGCGGCAAACATGTTGATCCTGTTTCTCATCTTACTCCTCTAAAAGAGGGTTTTTTTTTTTTTAACATTGATTAAAATCAATAGTACTAAGACTACACTATTTTCCAGGCTCTTGGAGTTTATTTTTTTAAACCAATAGAAGAAAGTCAACTTGTTTTGCTGGAAAGCTTAAACAGACATACTGAATAATGACACAATATTTAACCAGTTTTTTTCACCTAGGTATTTTACTAGCAGATTTTCAATTTGATGAGTTGAATGAGCTATTAGCCCTATTGCCAGTAGCTTAAATACCTGCACAAAGCGGCTTTCATGAGGACATCCAATTCTGAACATGTCTATGCATAGTAAACTGTAGCAGCTTTATGACTGTAATTTATTGTAAAAAGAGTTCTTCAGAAGGATAAGAGAATCCATTTCCAAATTGGCACATTGGCTCACTAAACTACTGCCCTAATTCATTTGAAATAAACCCTCCAATGTTGCTCCCTCTTCCTTCCACTGTCTGCAGTTGCTATGGACTAATATACCAGATACTGACATTCATGGCATTGAAGAAAAACTTACAAAAGTTGTGTTTGAATGGAAATACTGTCAAAGAACACTTAAGGAAGGACAGAGTGACATCTGAGACAGATCAGATCTGTTGATTAAGACCAGTGTTTACAGGCAAAAGCATAACTTATTATTTCTTGATTATCATTGCTTGCCCCAACTGTACTTGCGCCAGTACCGTCTGGAAACCTGAAAGTTTCGTATCTTAGGATTCAGCATGCACTGTAACATGATTGACTCTGCTCCTCTCATTTGTACAGGATACCCCCACTGAGAACAATGCATTCTCATTTACAAGGGGATACTGCTGGCTGATGATAAAATAACATAAGAAAGTAAGAGACCAAAGTTAAGAAAACGCAGTGCACAGTGCAGGCGACCTATTGAATAACAATACAGGTTGTTGATTTTGAAGAAATACAAAGTGAGATTAGAAAAGTATTTTTGTAAACTGGACATGTTTAAAGAAATTCATCTTCAATCTAAGTTTTAGTTAACCTATTACATTCTGGCTTATAAGCAGAAAAATTTATTTTGGTATGCATTGTATAACAGGACTTTGGGTTATGAATGATAAGGGATTTTGCAATTATTGGATGCAATTTTTTTGAAAAAAAAAATCTAAGATGAGACTGACAAATGAGGAAACATTTAGGTCATTTTCTGCACTGATAGAATCCATGACATCACTAAGAAGAACATCAGGGCACTATGTAGAGCCTTATATACTCTTTTAGCAATACATACATATAGGTACATGTATATGTATGCATGGGGGAGCTCTAGTGGCATAGTGCCTAAGGCATTTGACTGCTAACCAGAAGGCTGGTGGTTCAAACCCACCAGCCACTCTTTGGAAGGAAGGTTGGGTGATCTATTTCTGTAGTGATACAGCCTCAGAAACACAAGAGGGGTCACTATGAGTTGGGACTGACTCAACAGCAGTGGTGGGGTTTCGTATATATATGTGTGTATAAATATATGCACACATATATATATCTATTCTATATGTATATCTATTGTGGTGTAGTAAATTATTCAGTGTGGTTTTTCTAGCCATAAGTCTTTGTAAACTCCATGGTGGAATTTTCCTGTGAGTAACTGAGGAGCTCATGATTGTTAAAGTTATCCACCTGGGGTATTTCTGTTGAACATGGCACAAAACAATGTTTTGGGAAGTTCTCTCTCTCTCAGGTGTTTAGAATTCTGATGTTGGGATTGGTTACTTGGCCACTCTGCCAGGCTCGAAAGGGGTGCTTCTGGAGGCAGAATGAGTCTCTCTGACCGCTGGCTGAAAAAGACATGCTGCCGAGAGAAACACATTCCTGAGAGATACGTGCTGCTCAGAAAGAAACACCGAGAGACATATGTTTCTGAGAGATGCGAGAGACACACATTGCCGAGAGAGACACTGAGAGACATGCATTGCTGAGAGAGAGACTGAGAGAGACTGTTGGCTGAGAGACGGTGAGACTGAGAGAGACTGAGTGTTTTTCCTGAATTTGAATTGTAGCCTGGTGCTTCCCTAATAAACCCCACAGTCTGTGAGTTCTGTGTGGCCACTTCAGCGAATTATTGAACCCAGCAGAGAGGTAGGGTTGGTGAAAGGGCTGGAGGGAGGCAGTGTCACAGGGATAGGCCCTGGGCTACTAATGGTGATTCTGTCTTCCTCTTGTACAGTTAGAGGAGGTCAGAAGACATAGCCTCCTGGCCCCTTTGGCATCTATATATACATTCCATCAAGATACCACCTCAGAAACCCAAGCAGGAGTCGCTACGAGTCGGATCTGACTTGATAGCAGTGAGTTTTGTTTTTTGTTTTGTATAGACATATATATATATACACATACGGGAGCTCTGGTAGCGTAGTGCCTAAGGCACTTGACTGCTAACCAGAAAGCTGGCTGTTCAAACCCACCAGTCACTCCTTGGAAGGAAGGTTGGGCAATCTATTTCCATAGTGATATCACCTCTAAAACCCAAGGAGGGGTCACTATGAGTTGGGTCCGACTTGATGGCACATAACAACAACAACATATATACATATACATACACTTTAACAAATTGCACAGTCAAAGTAAAACTGCATATATAGAAGAAAAGCAAAGGAAGGATTAGCATAGGATTCAGGAAGGGAAGACAGGCTGGAATATGCCATGGTGGTGGGTAGGGAACTATGTAATTAGATATAGATTACTGTCAAAACTTTAACCTTTTATTGGGTGGTGGATTCACAGGCACTTATTGCATTTTTAAAAATAACAATATAACTGAATGAAAGCAGGCCATGTATGCACCAAGGATGAAAATATGTTACAAACCAAGATGCAAAAGTCAAGGTTGAAGGAAAAAAAAAAATTGTTGGTGTAAATCTTGCTAAAACACTGCTGAACTGGTTAATAGGGTTTGCCCCAAAATTGAATATACTAATTAGTTTTGAAATGAATTGTCTAAAATTTCACAGTTTTGCTTTAAGTCTCACCCTGAATTTTCGTATTTGCACACATTTAACACTCAAAATGAAACCTGACTGTGGGAACTGCCCCATACCACATCTACTCAATTCAAATTTAGCCCAACTTCAATGAAACTCATGTGAACTGAAAATACTGACTTCAGCAGAGCTCTTGTCTACCTTCTACAACAGGCCTTTACTTGTCAAAAATTTATTCTATTTCTACCATATCTGTAATAATAATATGTAACAGTAACTGACATTAACTACATACTAAGTACTGTTTTAAGGCTTTGTATTTAATAAGTCAATTAATACTTTCAACAACCCCAAGAGATATATATTGTTATCATCATTTTACATATGGGGAAACTAAAATCCAGAGATACTAATTTCCTTGGGGTTAACACCTATTTAGTAGGAAATGTAGGGATTGAGTGTAGGTGGTCTTTCTCTGTAGATGTAATTTGAATGTTGGCTTTTTACAAACAAATTTGACATATTTATAAGGTCTGTCATTGAGAAAAGCTCTGATACATTTTCTCAACTCCATAACTAATGTGAATCTTTTTGATTTCATGCATTTGAGTTCAATCCATCCAAATAATTTCTGGATATATATTTCTCTAGTTGGTAGCATAGTGTCTAAGGCACTTGGCTGCTAACCAGAAGGCTGGTGGTTCAAACCCACCAGCCACTGTTTGGAAGGAAGGTTGGGCAATCTACTTCCATAGTGATACCGCCTTGGAAACCCAAGAAAGGGTCGCTGTGAGTTGGGTCCAACTCAACAGCACACAACAATAACAGTTAGTTCAATAATGCATTATCATATAGTGAGACTTTTATCAAGCCTAAAAATATAGCAGTATGCCAACTTCACTTGTCTGAGCAAGCATCATAACCAAGTTACCTACTTTGATCTCATTTTTGAAGTTAAAACCAGGATAAAAAATTACTTATACTTGTGTAATATCATTATGTCTTTATACAGATAAACAATGAAAACTGGACCATAAAAATGTTCCCAACATAGCTACTTTTCCCAAACAATGAACTGAAAATTCACATTCCAACAGTAAATGGTCTAAAGGACCCAGATTAGGTCACATGTCAAGAGAGGGCAGGGTACCTGGACTGACAGACCCACCATGACTGCAATCGGAGGAAGAAAGTTCTCTAAGGTAATGGAAGAAGCACTGTTACTAAAGGAAAGGAAGAAATGTTGGGTAAGCAAAGAAACGGATGTCTTCTGTATTGTCCCCAAGTTGTCCATGTTGCTGAATCTAAAGAAACTTTTCAGTTATCTCAGTTATCTTCTTGACAGCACCTGACAGTTTTGATACTTCCTTTGGCTTCTGTGAAATCAGATCTTCCCTACTCCCTCTCTGCCCTTATGTATCTTCATGGATCTCTGTCATTTTTTTTTTTTTTTTTTTTTTTTGGTGTGTCTTTCACCTTCCAGATCTCTCACTCTATGCACACCATACAACCCTATTAAAATATATTACATTTCATTCTATTACCTTTAAAATGATGAATCTCACACATTTATTTCCACCCAGACCTACCTTAAGATCTAGATTCAGCTTCTGCCTAGACAATTGCACTTGGCTGTCTGAGGCATCAAACATAGTAAGTTCAAAAACTGAGCTATCCATTTTCCTCCCCATACTCTCTGGTTTCCTAGTACCAATCTCAGCTAATGGCCCTATCTACCCAATCATCCAAACTGCCTACCAATGGCATATCCTAAATTTCTCCCTTTCACTCAGTCTACCACCTCATCACTTCTCTCTACACATACAGGTTTTAGAGTCTACATATGTACTTGCTCTCAATTTCATAACTTTCTTGTGTATTTCAGGCTACTAAGGCCACCTTGACTATCAAAACAATCTCCTAATTCATCCTCTTTCTTCTTTTTTCATCCTCTATCTCTCACACTTCTAGCAATAAAATATAAACATAATGATTTTTTTCAGAATACAGTAGAAAGTTTTTCATTAGCACCATAAGCCCTTCATAGTCTGTTTGCAGACTATTTCTCTAATCTTATCACTTTCCAATTTTTCTTGCCTTCATAAACTAGGACTACAAAGCTACTTATATGTCCTTAACCCATCATACTATTTTAGATTTCTACTTCTACATACTTGCTATTCTTTCTACATGAAACACCCTTTCTACTTATTTAGCTAGTTATCTTGCCTTTCAAAGTCAGCTCAAATAGAATTGTTCCTGGAAACTTCTCTCTCAGATACCCAGTCTTATGTCTTGTGTCTCTCTTCTATGTGCTCATAATACACAATGCTCTAAATGTTGGTTTACTTGTCTATTTTTTCCAGTTGGTAAGTAATTTTCTAGCAGAGAATGCCTTCTGATTTTATGTCTCTACCTCTGATGATGGGACACAAATGATAAATATTTAATGGATATTTATTGAATGATTTAATGAAGGAAATGATGCCACTCAAGGAAAATAAGTCAAAGAAGAAAGTACGCTTCCATACTTGGCATAAAGAATTTCTCTTTCCCAAATACTTCAGAATAAAAATCTAAGACATATTTTTGTTTTAAAGTTGGTCGATATTTTCATTCAAACTTTCTTTTTGTCTTTGGGCTACAGTACCAAAACCAAACCCACTGCTACTGAATCAGTTCTAACTCATAGCGACCCTAAAGAGTTTCCAAGGTAGGGGAGGTAATTACCTAGTTTGGTGTTTCAAGCTCTTTCTTGAAGCTTAAAACACTTGACAAATTGGCAGAGCTAACTTTCAAATAAATAATCTGCCATAAGACTCAGTTCAATAGTAGCTTTATTTCTAAAACTGTGAGCTGTGCAATATCTCCCTTCCCATCCAAAGCCACATTAATATTTACTAAGAAGTATTTATTCTACCTCCAAAATATCTCTTCAGTGCTTCCTCCTGGTCTCTTGTTCTGTCACTGCCTTCTCCTACTTTCGTGGCATTCTCACTTCCAGTCTATTTCTCGTTACCTGCTTCCCCAGGCAGGCAGCTATCTCATATTACACTGGTGACTTATTTATTTACTTTTTAAAGAGCTCTGGTGGCATATGGATAAGGTATTTGGCTGCTAACCAGAGGCCATTTTTCTCTAGAAGACAAAAATTATTATCCTAGTGACTCCTTATCAGTTATACCTGAAATTCCAGCACTGGGTTGGCAGGAAAGGTTCTCCCCTTGCATCACAGCCTACTATTTCACAGTTTCATTTTCTACCATTTCTTTAACTCCGACTATGCTCAGCATGAAGGAATCTGTCAATATTCCTTCATACCTCAAAGTCTTTGTCAATGACAACTTCTCTGCTTGGCATGTACATCCTCTGTGTTCTGTCCCCATCCAGACAACTTTTACTCATCCTTCATGCTTGGTTGAAACACTGAAAAGCATCTAAGAAGCTATTTTTGACTTTTTCAGACATAGGTAGGTCACTTCTACATCTTTGACCTTGGAGAATATATGACATTATTAGAGCTTTGCTTTATTTTGTTTCTTTTAAAAAAGTTACGTATTTATCATCAGACAATATAAATTAAGAAAAGTTGATAAAAAAACAATGCTTCTTGGATGAATTGAAAGAATGCCTCTTTTACTTAAGATGTTTCCACACTTCATGAGCCAATATGGAAAATAACATGTTTTGGGAAATAACATGTTTTGGGAAAGAGAAGCTAGGAAATATAATTATGGCAGATATGGGGTGGGGGAACAGTCATTACTTTCAAGGAGCTAAAGGCAACTAGAGTGATGGATAAAAATCCCAGTAACTACTACTGAAAAAAAAAAAAAAAGAAGAAGAAGAAGAAAGAAAAACATGTAGCACGACAGGAAGAGAAGGAAGGAGACATATTTGAATTTAACTGTTGCTGTGTTTAGAAGGAGACACACAGCAACTTTATGTATATGAGACAAAGTTAATGATGAATTCCATTAGTGTTTTAGCCATAATTTTCTCACTTATGGCAAGTATCAATTCCTACCTCATACAGTTAAAATATAGTATGAAATGGCATTAATATAAATTTATATAGTTAAAACTATATCCAGTATTTAAGAGTATATTTTTTGATTCTACAAATGATCTCAAAACTTGCTCTCATCCCTGACTCCTTGGCTCTGTCCTCTGTTCTACCAGGTGCCCCAGTCTTTCTCTGGACTTCTCCTCATTCTGTACCAACTTCAGGGCCAGGAGTTCATGCTGTCAAAGGCTAAGCAACCTGAGAAATGGGGAAGGGGAAGGTGATGCTAAGGTCTCAGCTCTTTAGAAGAAATGTCTTTTTTTCTACTCCTCCAAAATACACCTTTTAAATTTTCTTTTGTCAACACTTATTCTCTAATAGATTAACCTGTCTTTAAAATGGTTAAATGTTGATTATAATAATTTACATATACCTTATGTCCCCTGTAACATTACAAAAACTTTTAGGAGACATTCTATTTCTTATTCATGTGTGTATGCACCACAGAGTTTCATAATTAACTGTGAATGGAAAAATGAATTCACCAATAGACTTGCACACATATAATCCTAGCAAATGGGAGAACATTACAAGGGAAAGCCAGTGGTGATACCATAAAGTGTCTTTGGCATGCCTTCAAGCCTCCATCAGCTCCCTGTCTCAAGGCAGCCTTAAAACAAACAATTTAAACAAAAACAGTGTTCATGGCAGGCAATGAAACTCATGACAAGTTCCTTTGACTTGCTATAGGAATAAAGGTAAGTGGGACTTATTTTTTTACTGAAATATTTTGTTTTAATATAACATCTCTTTTTGATTTTATGTGAGCCAAATTCTAATTCTCCTATGATAAAAGAATAAAAAGAAGCTCTCTGCAAACTACAGAAAATATTTTCTAAATATAGCAATTCAAAGGTTTCTATGTAAATCCAAGAGAAATAAAGGAAGCCATATCATTGGTAGGGCCAGACTCTAATGCCTATGTTAATTCTGACAAGAAACATAACTTTATAGGGGATGGTACATTTCTTGTTTCTTAGTATTTAACTCCCTTAAATGTAACAGTGAAAAGAACCATTTATTGGGTACTTACAGCACATGCAACTGTGCTTAATTCTCAGTGCAGGCCTGTAAGCAACGCGGTCAGACACACTAGGTCACAGAGTCAGACCAGGTTTGTGATCTTGTCCAAGATCTTCATTTTAACCTCTGAGCTCAGTGCCCTATGCTACCCTCCTAAGTCCAGGTAATGCATACTTATGTCAGATGTATGTGAAATACAGGTTTTAAAAAAAGTTAATGGTGTTGGATTCATTGTAATAAACTGGAATTAAATTTGATTATTTAAATTTTATAAATTGTCCTTAATACAAAGGCTTGTTTCAATTATTTAGGATAAAAAAGGAAATATACATATTTTTAAAATCCTAACTTAACAACAAATAATCACTACCTGCCCAAAAAAAGACAGCTCCACAGTATGTACTATATTAAAAAACAAAACAAAACCTAAACAAAAGAACCTAGAAATAATCCTTGAGCTGGCTATGTCTATTAGTCACTAAATAGATATAAATTTAGAAATGACTATTACAATCCTGAAATATACCATTTAATATTGTCCAAATCCTTTTTGTCTTGATTGAGAAAAACTATAAATATACCAATATGTTAGGCACATTTAGGATTTTTGTGTGGATTGCTTGAATAATAAAATCAATCAGTATAAAAATATAATTAACATGACAAGACAGACTCCTCAAATCTAATAAATTTAATACATTACATTCCCTGCATTTACTAAAATTAATTTTTGAGGAGTAGAGAATTATTAATCAATAAATCTTACTAGGCTATCCTTCCTACTTCCCACTGTATATGGTGGAGATTAGGATATTTTGCTTGGGTTTTTATTTTTGTGGTGGGAAATGGTGTTGATGTCTAATTTTAGTTTAGTTCATTTCCCATACCTGTAGAAAGCAAAATCAGTAATTTCACAGACAAGTTCCAAGAGAGACTGGAGACATCTTAAAACTGTATTACTGATCACTACCTAAGAGATATGAAAAATATTCAAATAACCAGTTCATTCTTTAAGGAAACCTATAGCCTTATGTGGAACTATCTCCAATAGTCTGGTCTAGTTAACGAAAGAGAAGAATAAATAATATCTCCTGTTGTTGCAGTCAAGGTTGGCCACTACTGCTTATGTTAATAGCAAATACAGGTCATCAGAGATAATTCTGGAGTATCACAAAAACTCAATAGAGACTGTTTGCAAAACATCTCAAAGTTCATTTAGTTTCAGATGCAAAGAAGATAATCCCATACAAATCCAATGTGATCTAAAGCTGTTTAAAATGGAGTAAGATTTTATTGTCATTTTGAAGAGTGGAAGGAACTATGTCATCCCTAAACCCCATAAAAACAGTATGGGCTGAGAGAAAACGGTGAATGCCATTTCTACCCACCATGGTGACTCATGACCTGCCCAGCAGCCTCCATGCTGACATTCTGGAGATAGTTGTGGCAGCGTTCCTTGTGCTCCTCCAGTGAACTGCGCTGCTTGTAGCTTCGTCCACAGTAGTTGCACTTGTGAGGTTTACCCACTGTGAAGAGAGCTCAGGGTTAGCAAACTGTCAGTCTCATCCACAGCACAATTAAAAGCCAACGCTTGATAGTTTGGAGAAAGGATTTAAATGATTTTCAGACTTAGATCTCTTCCTCCACTCTCTGATTCAGGCAAGAAATAATAATAAATTTCTACCAGGGCTAAAAGAGAGCAAGACCAGCAGATCATACCTCTCACCGCAGAAGACATACTGAATCAAATTCATGCTCTGTGTGTATTCCAGACCTGGAGGGTATGATGATCACTCTTCAAATTATACGACTTTTAAAATTTACTCTTGTACTCTCAGCTTTGACTCATTGAAAAGACAAATTAAGAGAATGCTAGATTTAAGAGAATGATTTTTTTGTGGGGTGTGTGACAGGATGGGGTAAAGGCAGGGAATTTTACTGAAGAAAACCAAAGTGCAACAACTTGAAATGTCATTCTTTAATAAAAAGAGATCATTCATGAGTACCAAGAAGATTCAAAGGAACCCAAGTGATGAGAAAAAGTACAGATAAACGCCTTGGTAATAACTGTTCACACATGCAAAACTCTGCGGCAGATCTAAGTGTATTCTCCATCATCAGCATTGCTCTCATAATACCAAGAATTAACCTACTTGGTGCTTTGAGTCAGGATTATTAACAATAACTACTTAAGTGGAACCATATTTAGTTACACGGCAATGGTGATATTTGCCAGCACATCTCATACTCAGGAAATGAAATGCTCTCGTAGCAAGAGAACCTTAGCTCAGGCTACCTGGCAAAATCCTATGACGATCACATAACAAACTTAAAAAAATTGGTGAAAGAGAAAAAAAGGGCTTCTGTGGAAAGAAGCATGTTTTAATGTATGACTATATATGCATATATATATATATATATATATATATATATATATATGTGAGTATTACTTAGCACTTTGATTCTTGGTTTTGAATGGACAGAGAACATAAAATGCCACATTGTCTGTGCCAAAACCTCAGTAGGAAAACACAGAATCAGGCCAATGTTTCTTCTCTGACTCCCATAAGAATCATTTAGTTTTGTTTAGGGAACAAACCGACAATTCTTTTTCATGGCCAAACATAGCATCCCTAATGCAGTCACCTTACAAACTCGTGCTATGTCACTGGTCACAGGAGGAACTGAAAGAAAGTAACAAGGCATGGTATTCATAGCTGCCTAAAAGTTTCACTATACTGATGTAAAACAAAACCCTATTAGGTTGTATTTAAGGTATACATAAGCTAAAATTAGTTATTTCAAAATTATAACTTTTGTAAAATTGTAATTCAAAACAAAAGGTATTTAGGGTCTACTGAGTCACTTTTTAAAATACTAGGCAAAGTAACTTCTTCCCATTTTTCAGAATCAAGAATTTCAAGGAAGTAGAAATCACGTAGCCAGGTGTATGTAGCATTTATATTACTATGTGAGAGCATAAGAAAGTCCAAGAAAATACTTTTAGTCAAAAATAGCCAGTGTAAACAATATAAATGTATTTATACATAAGTGCTATCTAAGACATGTATTACAATTGGTCCTTGTTACCTACTGCCAGTATTAAATTTTGAGTTATTTTGTGTTATTGCTTTAGAAATAGTGATAAATCTGCAGTGAACAACTCAAATAACCAATTAGTATTTATTAAGCACTTATTTGCAGTTAATAGCTCTGTCAAACTGTCCAATCCCCTCCCGGTCTTCTGTACTCTTCCTATCACATTGTGTCATGTAGTCCCTTTGTTATACTGTGAACATAGTCTCCGGTGCGTTCCTTCCCCTTTACCTACAGGCAATCTCTGCAGCTTCTCAACTTAATAGAAACATGGTTTCCTTCAGCTCCCCTTGGCTCACAATCCTCTATAAACTCTCCACTCATCTGATAAATAGGAAAAGGCTATACTTTTTACTGCTTTCATTACCTTGCTACTTTTGTTTTTGAAATCTATCCCACCTGCTTCACATTAGCTCTTCTCATTTTGTCATTTATTTTAAAACATCATTGCTTCCTCTTCATCCTATCCTTGTTATAGTTGAGTTCAACAGCATTTCAAGAATTGTTAAAAAGATAAAATCTCTAATTTCCCAACTTTCATCTTCATTCTACTCCAGCAATCTACATACTAGGTGACATGCTGGATTTGACATCTCTTGTAACTATTTTATCTCCAAGGAACTCATTCCACCTTCTTCTCTCTCTCTCATTTGTTCACTACCTACTTATTAAAAACTTACTATTATTACTATGATGAGTCTGGAATGGAAAGTGAAAATCAAATTCAAATGGACCCTTTTATTCATGTAACTGATAGTCTCTTAAGGAAGACAGACATTTAATAAATATGCAAACAATATTTCACAAATTACGTCAAGTTCTACAAAGCAAAAGTATGGTGTGCTACTATGATGTGGAGAATCTAATTTAGTTTGAGAAGGTTGGACAGGAAGGTCTGTCTCAGGTAGGAACATTTAGCTTGGTAACTGAAGAAACAACAGTTAGCTAGACTCTTAATTTCTACTGAATAAAGTTCAAATCCATTAACCTGGCATTCAGCACCTTATACAATCAGGCTTGAAAGCAAACTTTCCATTTTCTGTCCCACGTTCTCACCAAAATCACCTTGCACTTTTATACTTCTGAGCTTTGGTTTCTTCTGCAATGACTTCATACAATTTCTGTCTTTTGAAATCCTATCCATCTTTGTACTCCCATCCTGCCTAACTTCATTCCACTCAAAGGGAAACTTCCCAACTAAAGAACTGTAACTGAATTGGCTCTCATGGTTAGGAGATTAGCAAATTCATGTCGAAACTGGGGAGCTCTGGAGGTGCAGGGGTTAAAGCATCCAGCTGCTACCAAAAGGTCAGCAGTTGGAACCCACCAGCCACTCCACAGGAGAAAGATGAAGCAGTCTGCTTCTATAAAGGTTTACAGCCTTGGAAACCTATGGGAGGTTATTCTGTCCTAAAGGATTGTTATGAGTTGAAATTGATGAGATGACGACAGTGGGTTTGGGTGGCGCCGTGGTTAAAGCTTTGGGCTGCTAACCGAAAGGTTGGCAGTTTGAACCTACTAGCTGCTCCATGGGAGAGAGATGAGGCAATCTGTTTTCCCAAAAGATTTACAGGCTTGGAAACCCTAATGGGCAATTCTACTCTGTTCTATGTTGTTGTTGTTGTTGTTATGTGCCATCGAGTCGGCCCCGACTCATAGCGACCCCTCCTTGGGTTTCCGAGGCAGTATCACTACCGAAGTAGGATTGCCCAACCTTCCTTCTGAGGAGTGGCTGGTGGGTTTGAACCGCCAGCCATCTGGTTAGCAGGCAAGTGTCTTAGCCACTATGCTACCAGAGCTCCTACTCTGTTCTATAGGTTTGCTATGAGTTGGAACTGGCTCAATGCAATGTGAGAAACTGGAACAATGTATAATGTCTCTTTTTACCCACAAATAGTTCAGGAGGTGCTCTGTTCACAGAAAGAACTAATAAATGGAGTTTTCATGAATGATATCATTTCCTGAGTCTTTTAATAATTTTTTCTCATAGGTTTTTTTTTTAAGTTTTTTCTAATTACAAAAACAATACATTGATATAAAAATTTTGAAAAAGATTTGCCAAAACATCATTCGTAATAATACCATTCAGAGATAAGTATCTTTTTTTTTAACATCTCTGCATCATCCTCTTGTATTTTTTCATCTTTATAAGGTTAAGTTTATTCAGCTGCTATGATACAAAGCAAGCCCTGTGTGAAAATCACGGTGGTACAGATAGTGAAGGTGGTGGTATTCAATCTGTTTTCAAGGTTTGGGAAATCGTGCAATCCTCAGTAAGGTGCACATTCTCATTAGTAAATATTGTTTCTGCTTACGAATGAAATAAAATTTATTTTGCTTTCAATTTATGTGTGTTATTATTATTTTTTCCCCAACGACTACTAAGTTGCTGGGACAGAAATACTTATTAAGTTTTAGTAAGTTGTTTGAACCTAACTACCAAATATATGAAACTGTTGCATATTTCTTTTTGGGCTAAAAACACTGAAAAAAATTAATAGGACACTTAAAAAAAGTAATAGGACACTAAAGGCATTGTAGGAGCTCTGGTGGTATAGTGCCTAAGGCATTTGACTGCTAACCAGAAGGCTGGTGGTTCAAACCCACCAACCACTCCTTGGAAGGAAGACTGGGCAATTTACTTCCATAGAGATATTGCCTTGGAAACCCAAGAAGGGGTCCCTATAAGTCAGAAGCACATCGATGGCAGTGAGTTTAAAGGCATTGTGAACTAAGAAAATCTGAATACCATATAATTCATGTTTCTCTTAAATCTGCATTAAACAGCAAAAAAAAAAAAAAAAAAGATTAGCCATTTGTCTGCCATTCTTTCAAATGGTCTATTCAAAGCTTTTGCCTATTTACCAATCATGGTCTTATTATTATCTATCTAAAAAATTTGCTCAATTTATGTATGTTGTTGCTATGCTTTAGGTGCCATCAAGTTGTCTCCAACTCGTAGTGACCCTGTGGACAACAGAATGGAATGAAACGGTCTGGTCCTGGGCTACCCTCACATCATTGGTGTGCTTGAACTCATCACTGTAGCCACGGTGTCAATCCACGTCATTGAGGGCTTTCTCCTCTTTCGCTGATTCTCCACTTTACCAAACATGGTATTAATGCTAATAATCCTCTGACCTATTTCTTATTAAATATTTAGATTTTTTTTTTTAATGTTTAGCGGTTTTCAATTTTCTTGTGGTTAAATTGGTTGATACTATTCCCTTGTGTTATTTATCTGATAAATATATACACCTATTTTTTTTCTTAAGGTAATTTTTTTTCTAAAAATCTTTAGACATTTTAAAGCCACCAGGATTTTTCTGATAAAGTGTTTAAGTTGGAAGAGAATATTTTCAAAAAGAAACAGATCCCTACTTGAAAAATGAGCTATTTTTCTGAAAACTTCCTTATACAAAATCATTTC